ACGAGCTTTAATTGAGATAATATTGATATGCGAACATACTTTTAGGGTACTCTTCATGAACCAAAAATACAAGATCACGCCTTCTTCTTAGTCCTCTTTCAGACACGTCAAGTCTTGCTTTCAAGTCTGCTCGTTCGTAGGAGAAGGAGGTGAGAAGAGTACAGATACCTCCGTACCGTCAATTCGTTTCAAGTTTTCTTGTCTCTTTTGATCTTTTCGTTGCTTCCCATTTAAAGAACCAAGGACTTGAATTCAATTAAAGTTAACGCGTGTGGAAGCAAATAGAAAACACAAAAGAGAATGCGAAAAAATTGCTTTCAAGACTTGACGTGTCTGAAAGGGGACTTAGTGGCCCGTTACAATCGCATTTAGGAAAAAAGTTGGGCGACTTTGACATTAGCCGTTTGTTTACATTTGTTCGTTGTTTACAATTTGGTGGTGGCTTTTAACTGCAATTTTCTTAATTTTCGCTTGTGACAACGTGTGCACACATAAGGTAAAGAATAATTTAACACAACGACATGATTTATAGAAGAATTTGCATAATAAAAATTATTATTCATGCGTTCAACAATTACGCGTTTTTTTTTGTTCTCTTCGTTGTTTACTTCTTATAACAAGGATGGCGTCGAGATTTCAACAGCTAGAAAATAACTTTTTTCTTTCTTTCGGGAAGGCGTGATCTTGTGTCTTTCGTTCATGGGTACTCTTTAGTACGTAGTCGGTCTATTTCGAGGTATTGCGTCCAAAGGGGTGGCCCGATCCAAAAAAAATTGCACACACTTCTAGTCAAGGGTCTACACATTATTTTAAAACCCACTTTTGTAATTTTTGATCGCTAATTTATTTACAAATTGGGTTTGAAATATGCCCTTTTTTGTAAAATTCGGAAATTAGCGTACATTTATTACTTCTATCCTCCTTAATGCAGCCACTTAACCAATATATTTTTATATTCCCCTTCACTTTACACTTTACTCAATTAGTTATAACTTGCTTTACGGCTTTAATATTAACAAATTAATCACAATTCATTAAATAAAAACACCTTCAAAAACACGCGTCTGACTTTGGTTGCATATGCAAATTAAATGGCGGAGTTCAGCTGTCAAACTCTAAAGTATGCAAAACATATAACCCAGTAAGCATTAAAAATATACAAAGGTGTTCTCTGCAAAAGGTGTTCAGCCCCCCTTCTTTGGCAACACAGAAAGGAGAATTCTACTGCTTGAGGGTTATAATCCCTAAGTGCGGCCGAAGGCCGCCTACGCAGAAATAAATTCTACGCAAAAATACATTTGTTAAAGAGAACATTTTTTTTTATATAAACTTGTTTTGGCATAAATGTAGAATACCTACAATTCTCAAATTAAAAAAAAAATCATATTGGGATCGATGGAGATCATTGAGGTGAACGTAACGATATATATATTTTTTTGGGAAACAACAACTACAACAATTATTAAAAGTCAAAGTTCAAATTAAGCATGTTTTTTAATTAATATTTCTCGAGAACCCCTCCAAGGATTTGGAAAATTTTATGTCATTTGATAGAGAATTTAATTCTCTTTAATTTGATATACATATTTATACATATATCTTTTATAGTATTCACAAAAATATAATTAATGTGGAATTCTACTTTGTGAGGGTTATAATCCATAAGTGCGGCCGAAGGCCGCCTACGCAGAAAGGTGTTCTCTGCAAAAGGTGTTCAGCGCAAAAAGAAGTTTATACACAAAAACCCTGTATACTTTTTTCCACATTAATTCGATTTTTGTGAAAACTATAAAAAGGTATATGTATAAATATGTATGTATATCAAATTAAAGAGAATTAAATTCTCTATCAAATGACATCAAAATTGTCCAATTCCTTGAAATATTAATTTAAGAAAATGCTTAATNGAAATATGCCCTTTTTTGTAAAATTCGGAAATTAGCGTACATTTATTACTTCTATCCTCCTTAATGCAGCCACTTAACCAATATATTTTTATATTCCCCTTCACTTTACACTTTACTCAATTAGTTATAACTTGCTTTACGGNTTAATTCGATTTTTGTGAAAACTATAAAAAGGTATATGTATAAATATGTATGTATATCAAATTAAAGAGAATTAAATTCTCTATCAAATGACATCAAAATTGTCCAATTCCTTGAAATATTAATTTAAGAAAATGCTTAATTTGAATTTTGACCTTTAATAATTGTTGTAGTTGTTGTTTCCCAAAAAAAATAAATATACCGTTATGTTCACCTCAATGGTCTCTATCGATCCTATTTTTTATTTTTTTTAATTCGAGATTTGTAGGTATTGTGCATTTGTTCCCTTGTTTTTGCTATTTTTAATTAACTATTTTATTCTTTATTCAAAATCGCCCGATATCTAATTTGGCATAATTTCTTTTATTAAAAAATCCCACGGTTTCTGTTAGTTGGGTCATATTCCACTTCAAACTGCTCAGTTTGCCTAAGAAAATTCCGTTTTTCCCCCTTTTTCAAACGGTTCCCCAGGGGCCTGTGGGAGGAGCCAAAGGTACGCCTTTTTAGAAAGCGGGGACTGCCCCCTTTCTAGTGGGGGAGGTTTAGGGGCCCCGCCCTTCCCCCTCCGCCCATCACCCCAAAAACGATGTGAGTGCTACTAAACATTTCCCTAAAATAATGCGTAGACCCTGGACTACAAGGGTGTGAAATTTTTTTTTGATCGGGCCACCCCTTTGGACGGAATAGGCCGAAATAGTGGAGCGCTACTAAACCCCACCCTAAAGGAACGAGTAATAATTATTTAATTCTAATGATTATTTAAATCTCCCTGTCGACCAGAACGGGAGTAACTTAAAACGTAACAAAAAAGTTGATGTTAAGTACATTATAGTTTCAGAATAGGATTTACGTGTATTAGCCCTTAAGTAAGAAAAATTGTATGGACAGAGCATGCCACATAGATCGTTGCAACTGCAGCGCGAAGCGAAAAGATGGCCAACTCCCATCTTTTAGCGCGCGTTGACAATCAGCGGGTTTAATATTTATTTTGTTTCGTCCAAATTCGAGCTTAAAAAGCAGTTCAAATTGTTTTCTTGCCGTTCATTGTGGCATACCTTTTGCGTCTGGCGCTTTGCTGGCAAAGTTGTGGCATCAGCTTTATTGTCTAATTTCAACTATAAAAGTACGTGTACTCAGCGTATAGGACAGCTGATCCAAACGTGTTGAATGAGTTCGTCGTGCAAATTTTTAGACGCCTACATTTTGTCGAAATGATCAAAAACAAGAAACCGGAAGAAAAAGGCAAGGGATGCGAAAAGACTGTGTTGGAAAAGAGTCAAAATTTAAAAAACAATACCAAAAGGAGGTTTGAGGCTAAAAGAAGATTGAAGCAGGTCAAAAATTCTGATATGGCAATGAAAGAAACTGGCACTTTAAATGGGTGTACCAAAACGGGAGATAAAAAGGATAAGCGAACAAAAGGCGATGCAAAACAGGTAATTCTTATTAGTGGGGACAAACTACTTGCAAAAATTGAGAAGGAAAAAGATAACGATGCACAAGGCGAAGCAACAGAGGAAATTCCTACCAGAGGTGACAAACTACTTGCAAAAATTGATAAGAAAAATGCTAAAAAGTTGGCCAAAAAGCTTAAAAAACAAACAAAAATTGAAGCGAATAAACTTGGCCCAAGAATGGAAGAAAATGAATCTGTTGGTGAACCGATAGAAGAATTATCTAAACCTAAAATTCAAAAGAAAAAAGGCGATGGTCCGGGTAAACGAGGTAAGGTTCATGTACATTTTCTCGAATCGTAAATATTTAGTCTGAGCTGTCACTGGAATCATCGGCTGCTTCGATTTTCGTGGTATCTATGAAAATGCGAACACTAAATCCGAACGGGCAAATTGAAAAAATGCGTTAAGTTCGTAACTATTCGAATTCAGTGATAGCATTTTCATAGATTTTACGAAAAGCCGGACTACGAAGGATTTAGTGCTAGCCCTGAGTGTATGTATGATTTTTATGCAAGCATATGTCTACATATATTAATGTTGATACCATATCTCTTTTAAGAGCCAAGAGATCGCGATCCCGCTAAAGAGGCAGCTACTGTCTTCGTGGGAAACCTACCGGTCAATACAAAGCGCGTTCAATTGGTACGCCTTTTTAGAGATTACGGACCAGTTAATGGCATTCGTTTTAGAACAGCTTCTGGTAAGGTTTTGTTTAAACATAAGCATCGTAAAGAGGCAGGCACTTTGAATGCTTGGGTGGTTCTTAAAGATGCAAAGACGGCTGCAAGTGCTTTAGATTTAAATGGCACGGTATTCAAAAAGAATCATCTTCGCATAACTCGTGCAGATTTGAAAAGCACTTCCATGGACGCAAAATGTACAATTTTTGTCGGTAACCTTAAATATAGTGAGTTCTGAGAGAAACATTTAAAATTGCCTTAAACCACTTTCTTAAATACTTTTTTCAGATGCTAACGAAGAGAAGCTGCGGGAAATATTCTCTAGCTGCGGAGATATTGACTATGTACGTTGTTTACATGATGATAAAGGCTGTAAGGGCGTTGCATATGTCTGCTTCAAAGCACCAGAAGCAGTAGGATTGGCACTGGAGCTCAATGAAACTATGCTGGATGAACGACCAATACATGTTGAACGTTATTCTGTTAGGAAGTTGGGTGCAAAAACAGGTCGAGATGCAAAAAGTGGAGACACTAAAGAGCCTTCAGGTAAATGCAATAAATTAAAGGACAAAGAAAAAAGCTTGCATACAAAAGACAGCGATTTCAAAAAGAAAAAATTTCGCGGTGTAAAAGTAGATGCTATGAAAAAGAAACAAAAGAAGAAACCGACAAGTCAAATGCAAAATTTAGCGAAGAAAATAGCTCCTAAAAAACAGTCTTGAAATCGAACTTCTCTTAATATAGTATTTAAGTGACCAACCTGATTGGTATCTTAATGTAAATTGTTGAAATTTTAAGTCAAAATAACAAGAAAATATATTAGTAAAAGTATTTTTATTTTCGTGCTAATTGTTTTCGTAATTTAGCTTGAGCTTCTATTGGGAATTTATTCATGTTACTCTCTACACAAGACAAGCAATAAGTAAGTGTAAAATAAAAACTACATTCTGCATCTTTGCAAACGACATTTTTGCACACCGAGCACTTGGCGCCTACAACAATAAAATACTCTGCTTTGGGTTTCCAACGTATTGGAGTCGGTTGAAAAGGATCGCGCATGACAAACGAGTCTTCTAAAAGTTTTAGACCATAAACAAACTGTGGATTTTTGCCATAATAATGAACCACTTCTTTCATGCAACAGGCGGAACACTGAAAAAGAATTTTTGGTTTGTGATCATCGTTTTGATGCTCGGTAGTTATTGTTTCAGCGGCTGGTAATTTCAGGCTAGCAATTTCTGCCTTTTCATCTCTCACATTCAGTTGCAGGTCATCATATTTGTTAAGAGAGGTATCATCTGGTGGCAAGCTGGATATCCTTGGTATCTCCATAATCGCACCTGCAAACGAAGATCGCAAATTATATTCATTATATTCAACGTCTTTAACGCTTAACAATTTTTATTCATATATTATAATTTTGTTTTGATTAAAAACAATACAAAACAAGAATAAAATCTGACGAGATATAATAAATATACGTCAAATATATGCAAAATTGCTTCCTAGCAGCCATCTACTCTAGCCTTCTTAGGCAGTTCTGATGGCCACCAATATGGTTTTTCTACATAGCATATTTTGCCGTCAATGAATAATTTGGGTGAATTCAAAGCTTGCTCTACTCGCAATAGCCCCAATGCTCTATCAAAGTTTGCACCACGAATTAGGCCAACGTTTGTCCCAGTTTCGGTTGAGATAGTCCATGATTTCGGTGGCGCTGGAACAGTCAAGCGTAAAGGCATTATGCGCTTTCGCACTACTCCTGTATGATGAACACGAGCTGTTAGCTCTTGCCCAATGTAACAGCCTTTGTGAAAGCTAACACCATGCAAGTAATCACAATTAGCTTCCAAAGGAAAACTTTTGCCAGGTGGAAGGTCATGAACACCTTCACCGACGCCATAACGATAGCGATGCATTCGGTAGTTGCAGTCATTTGTAGGTTTTGCAACTGTCACATCACCCGTTTTAGAAAACATATTAGCCAAGTCCTTCCAAGTTTTATCTGATTTTGTTATAACACGAGTACCAAGGTCCCGTATACGTGGATCCGGTGTAGATATAACTTCTTGCCCCACTTGTACACTAGTATCCATTCGAACAACGCTGCCAACTGGATTAAAAACAATCCATGGGCGATACTCTTGGCCTACAGAATCTATCTGAATGTTTCTGCGAACGCGATAAAGCCGCAAATGTCGTCGAAGTTCGTTTGATATGTATTTATCGCATTCAATCAAATACGTATTCAGTTCTGGAGTGCGGTATATAATTGAATCATACAGCACTCGACCGGCCTTATTCAGAAACATTGTGTACATTGCAGGAGTTTTGGCAAGAGGTGTACTGCCCGACTGCAAATGAGTCATGTCATTCGTTATGAGTCCTTGCAAGAAGGGCACAACCTCTTCTCCCTGTACTCTAACCAATTCTCGATCCGATAATTCCTCCACAACCAACCGTCTATCAGCGAATTTCTCACTATGATGTACCCACATGAAGTTGTTGGTGGTCTCAATGAAACGGGCAAAACTAGACTTGATTCTTGTCAAACCTTTTAATATATTCATTTTGAGGTGGCAAAAGAACTGCAGAACAAGTCATTAAATTAAAAAGCTTCCGTCGAAAAGCGTTAACTTACTTGTAATTAAATGAATGAATGTAGGAACCCGATTCTAATAAACATCAAATATGTATATTCGAAGTACAAAAAAGAATTGTATTACAAATTTAGAAGTAACTACAATAAAATTTCGATTGAAAAATTTAAAAACATTCCTATGTACGTATATAGACGTATAACCAAAAGCCATTTCGGATAATATTCGTTATGTGACTAGAAACAAGGTTGCCAAATACCATAAATCATGTGCATTATTTTCTGATTGTAGCCGGCTGTCTTCACGTGCTGGCAAATCTCGCTTGCGTAACGACGCCTTATAAAATAAAATAATAAAATTTATGGAAATATATTATCAAGGCCCTAACCAGACATTGGGCCGTATGAATAAAAATAAGCAATTGCTTTTTCTTAAAATTTCAGATCTTTTACTCAATTTATTCGAATAAAAGTGAAGTAAAAGGTATGAAATTTTAAGAAAAAGCAATGCTTAGTTTTTATTCATACGGCCCATTGAGTAACCGGCCCTAATTGATTTTTGCTTCGTAACCCTTTTTTGGGGTGGGCTTTCGTAGTTAGCCGCACCTTGTGTTTTAAGAAAACCTGGTGGAATTAACAAATGAAACAGGGACGCAGTCTCAAGTTATGTAGACTGAAGACCTGTGAATGTCGTTCTAGGCACACAAACACCGGACATTGACGCGACGGAGCTCCATCTGCCTCGGGAGACCAGGACAACAATAGCCCAACTTCGCTCTGGCTACTGCAGCAGGCTTAATTCCTACCTGAGTAGGTTAAATGCGGATGTGCCGAACGAATGTCCGGCATGCGGAACATCTCTCCGCATGCCCGGAAAATCCCACAACCCTAACGGCGTCGTCCCTATGGACCGACCCCATAGAGGCTGCACGCTTCTTGGGGCTGCCGTTAGTGGAACTTGACGACAACGCCTGAGGCCTATCTGAGCGGGGTTGTTGTAGCCGCTACAACAACAACAAATGAAACTTGGTCAGGATGTTAAGGGAGGTATCCTCTAAAACATGTATAATTAAAAAGTATAAACAATATCATTGTTTATAAGTTATTTGTGTACACACTTTTATTTTATTTTATCTTGTATATAAATCAAGGAATAGCGGTCCGAGATCTGCGCAACCTTTGTATTCTCTCAATCGTGGCTTTTGCGAAACCAGGTCAGAATGGACGGAAAAAGTTCGAGAGTGGTATCAATCGACGCGTCTTAGCGCCATAATAACAAATCGAGACCGGATATTATTTGCAAAAAACACTTGTACTTTCCACACTAAGTTTTGATGAATTTCACGCAAATGAATGGAATAAATGAACTCAATTTAACACGTATTTATTAGTTTTTATACAATTGTGATGTTTTAAGTGTACACTTTCACGATATTCTGTATTTAATAGCAATATTTCGATGGTTAAAATCCGCAGAATAATCTTGTGTAGTTAATATTGTGGGAGATACACCCGCGGCAGCCCTGCTGGGGTATACCTTACCAGAATATATGTAGCTATCCACGCTACAGCGCAAAATAAAGAGTCGGATGGCTTTTGGTTCTTTCGGGTTCACAGGAAACCGAATATATTTATTTAAATCGCAGTTCCAATGACTTACACGAAGTTGCTTGATGAAGGTCCACCAATAAAAAGAAAAAGTTCTTGTCCTTATCAAGCAAGTATATGTGTAGGTGAAAACGAAATGTCATAAGTTATGGCGTTACCAGATTTGTAAGAAATATACATTTAAACATAAATATTTTAGAGCTACATACATTATACTAGTTTACTATTCGAACGCCACATCTACTCCCCCTTCAGATTCGTCGTTAGATGAAGTCAGCGAAGTGTTTGGGGAAGTTGACTTTTCGTCCAACTCGCGTTGAAGTTTCTTCCTGGCGGTTGGTAGGTAGATGTGATGTGGGTTTCAGTATACTCCGTTTCGTTGGTATTTCGGTTGGTCGCCTCATCGGGGTATGACATGAATCCTCTTCGGCTACATGCGCAGCTTTTAGCCTGTCGATGCTGACTCTCGTTACCTTGTTGCCTATTACAACGTCGAAGTATTTGCCAAACCGTTTCGCTACCTCAAATGGACCATCATATTGTTGTTTCAGTGGCGGTTTGACTGAATCATCCCTTACAAAGACGTGAGTGCAGTTGTTTATGTCTTTTTGCACGAAAACTTTGTTCTTGGCGTGGCTCGTTGTTGATACGGGTTTCAATTTGGCTATCGTACTCTTTAATTTTTCTAGAAAATCGCTTTCCGTGTACTCGGGTTTGCTATCGAAGAATTCTCCGGGCAACTTAAGGTTTTCGCCGTATACCATTTCCGCTGGTGTGGCATTTAGGTCTTCTTTGAATGCTGTTCGAAGCCCGAGCAAAGCGATGGGAATGCTGTCGACCCAGTTGCTGTTGGTGTGACACTTCACGGCCGTTTTCAGCGTACGGTGCATGCGCTCGACCAGGCCATTTGCTTGCGGGTGGTACGCTGTTGATCTTAAGTGTTTAGCACCAATTAGGTTCGACAACTCATTGAACAATTTTGACTCAAACTGTTTGCCTTGATCAGTTGTGATGGCATCTGGTACACCGAAGTGCGCTATCCAGCCGTGTAAAAACGCTTTGGCCACTGTTTCGGCTGTGATGTCTTGCATCGGGATTGCCGCAGGCCATCGAGAAAAACGGTCGATGCAAGTTAGACAGTATTTGAAGCCTTCTGAAAGAGGTAATGGTCCAATAATGTCGATGTTAATATGGCGGAATCGTTGGCTGGGTACCCGAAAATTCTCAAGCGCCGTGCGGTTGTGCCTCCAGACTTTTGTCTTTTGGCACGGCACTCATGACGATACCATCTTGCTGACTTGTTGTTTCATGTGTGGCCAAACAAATCGTTCCGTCATGAGCTTTATTGTCGATCTTTTGCCTGGGTGACCTACATTGTGTATCGACTCAAACGCCTGCTTGCGGAATCTTTCCGAAACGTACGGCCGCACATGCTTCGTCGATACATCGCACATTATAGTTAAGTTGGTGCCCGGAATCTGGATTGCTTTTAATTGAAGTGAACTATCGGTCATTAGCTGCTCGAGTTCTGGGTCGCCTCTTTGCTCATTGGCTAATTTTTTGAAATCTATCTGCTCGCCGTTGAAAATCGTTTCGACTTGGGAAAGAAGGTCTGCCACGATGTTATTTTTTCCTGAGATGTGTCGAATGTCCGTGGTAAACTCACTGATGTAGCTTAAGTATCTTGTCTGCTTCGGTGTTGATTTTTCCGGCTTTTGCTGAAACGCAAACGTTAGTGGTTTGTGATCCGTCAGGATTGTGCAATCACGACCATCAATGAGGTGCTGGAAGTACTTGACAGCCTGATAAATAGCGAGCAATTCTCGATCGTACGTACTTTGCTTTTTTTGTGTTTCCGACATCCGCTTAGAGAAAAATCCGAGCGGTTTTAATACTTTATTGCTTAGTTCTTGGATGGCCGCGCCCACACAATAGTTGCTAGCATCCACATGGAGAATTAGTTTGGCATTTTGTGACGGATGTGCGAGCAATGTAGCATTCGCTAAGTCGCGCTTGCACTGCTGGAATGCTTCACTAGCCTCATTATCCCATTCGATAATTGACTTATCCTTTTTTTTGTTGCCTTTTATTAATTTTTGTAACTTTCCTTGCGTCGCGGCTGCGTTCGGGAGCGAGCGACGATAAAAGTTGATCATCGCGATGAATTGCCTCAATTCGTAAGCGAGAGTGGGTTTTTTAAAATTCACGATGGCATCAATCTTTTCCGTTGGCGGAGCGATACCATCTTTCGTGACTTTGTAGCCAAGGAAAGTAATTTCGGGTTTCGCAAACTCACATTTCGCCGCGTTAATTTTTAAATTATGGTCGCGAAGGCGTTGCAATACTGTGCGCAAGTGGTGCTCGTGTTCGGCTTGTGAGGTCGACGCAATGCATATGTCGTCTATGTACACGATGACGTATTCGAGGTCTCTGAAAATGTCGTTCATGAAGCGTTGGAACGTTTGGCTTGCGTTGCGCAGACCGAACGTCATGACGTTGAATTCAAAAAGACCAAACGGGGTTATGATTGCGGTCTTCTCCCGATCCTCTTCCGCGATTGTTACCTGGTGGTACGCGCGCTCCAGGTCAATTGTGGTGAAGAGCGACTTGCCACATAGTTGCTGTGAAAAGTCTTGAATGTGCGGTATTGGATACCGGTCGGGTCGCGTAACCGCATTGAGTCGGCGGTAATCACCACATGCACGCCATTTCCCTATTTCTTTTTTTGGTGCCATATGAAGCGGGCTTGCCCATTGACTACTGCTAGGTCGGCAGATATTCTGCTTTAGCATGTAGTCAAATTCTGATTTCGCAATGCAATGCTTCTCCGGGTTAAGCCGACGTGCTTTAGAGAAGATTGGGGGGCCTGAAGTTACGATGTGATGCCTCACTTTAGTGTTTAGGGACGCAGTTGTCATTTTAAAAGGTTGTGTCAAGTCTCGATAATCTTCAAGAATACTTGTAATGTTACTCGGCAGGTTTGGTGCAAATGTGTGAATTTGTTCGCATCGATATGTGCATGCCACTGCATTTACCTCTAACTTCGTTGTCATGTCAATTAGTTTTTTCTTGCGTAAGTCAACGAGCAGTCCGTATTGGTGAAGGAAGTCTGCTCCTATAATTGGTCTCGACACATCTGCGACAACAAACATCCAGTCCATTGGTCTTCTTAAGCCGAAGTTTACTTGGATGGTTTTTGTGCCATAGGTTTTGATCGGAGTGCCGTTGGCGGCGTAAAGTCTGTGATTCAGATCTGGTTTGTCATTATGAAGCGGCGGAACTACTGAAAAATCCGCACCCGTGTCAATGAGGTACCGGCAATTCGTGGTTCGGTCGTTAATAAATAGACGACGACTTTTTGTTGTAACAGCTCTGCGCGTCGTCTCTGCTGACAGAGCTTCTCCTAGTTTTCCTTCATGTCTAGTCTTTTGAACTGGCATGGCTCGATACATTTGTTTGCTTTTGCACCAAAGCGCCAGTGGTATTTGCAAAAAGGAAAACGAGGTCGTGATCGGCTTCTGCTACGAGCAGTTGGGTCCTTATTTCCGGCGCGCGACGTTCTTGATAGTCGGAGTTCGTCTATTTGTGATTGCAGCCGTTCTACCTGCTTGCTGAGACCCACTTCGCTTTGTATTGTCGCCACATTTGAAAAGCTTAGCATCTCCATCATCTGGTCGGCCTGCCTTGCCATTTCTGCCGAATCGCCCGTTCCGATCGAGATTACCGCGCGCACATTGTCAGGCAACCGCTCCAGCCACAGCGATTTCAGGACGTCATCGCTGAGTTTGTCTCTAGCTAAATCTTTCATGCGTTTGAGCAACTGCGTTGGTTTTAAATCACCGAGCTCACTCTCCTTGATTAGCTTCCGAATTTTACGTTGATCAGAATCTGTAAACTCGGCGATGAGCGCTTTTTTTACCGCCTCATATTTTTCTGTTGCTGGCGGATTGCTCACAATGTCGGCGATTTGCATTATTGCTTCTGCATCCAGGGAACTAATGACGTAGTGATATTTAGTTTCGTCGCTTTTCACCCGAGAAATGGCGAAGCTGGACTCCATTTGTAGAAAGTAAAAATCAGGCCTTTGCTTGCAGAATATTGGTGGTTTGATGCTAATATGCTGTAGCTCGCCAGTTAGGCATTTGTTCTCCGCCACTGTTGCGTTGTCAGACATATCAGCATTATCAGTTGATTGCTCTTCCATGGACATCTTATTTTACGTTTCGCCAAAATTGGCTACAAAAAAAAATGCTAGCGTCGAATTTGTGGTGCGTGCTTTGCTCTCAAAGATGTTTTAGTTATTCGGCGCCGCGATGCAGGCAGATCCAGGTCTCGACAAACGAGGTGGTGATACGTATATCTAGCCAGTCACGTGATGTACACCTAACCTTACTTTTGTTTCCCAGTGGCTGTGCAATACGTGTATGCATGTGTATGTACGTGCACCGGACCACTTCTCGAATTTTCGACCGTCGGGGTCACCAGTGTGGGAGATACACCCGCGGCAGCCCTGCTGGGGTATACCTTACCAGAATATATGTAGCTATCCACGCTACAGCGCAAAATAAAGAGTCGGATGGCTTTTGGTTCTTTCGGGTTCACAGGAAACCGAATATATTTATTTAAATCGCAGTTCCAATGTCTTACACGAAGTTGCTTGATGAAGGTCCACGAATAAAAAGAAAAAGTTCTTGTCCTTATCAAGCAAGTATATGTGTAGGTGAAAACGAAATGTCATAAGTTATGGCGTTACCAGATTTGTAAGAAATATACATTTAAACATAAATATTTTAGAGCTACATACATTATACTAGTTTACTATTCGAACGCCACAATATAAAGAAGATGCATAGATCTGACAACATGAAACAAAAGAAAAAAGTTATTTTCTGGCTGACGTTTGTAATTTCGGCGGCATGTTATTTTCTGTGAAAAGTAAACAAAGAATATGAAGACGAAGCATAAAGAAAAAATGCAAGCAATATTGTGCACATGTTTGTGCAAACCAATTTATTATTTTTGTGCGTGTTTTTGCATCCAATCACCGCGCACTTCATATCACAGTATACAGTAACGATATACATTTTCGCAGTTTTTCACCATTTGGTCCCCGAGGAGTACTTTTGGGTTATGTGCAGCGTGTTCGTTTTTCGCGCACGGCAACACTTACTGTGGGGAATTTCGCCTCACGATTAGAAAAAGTACATTTCGAGGATAAAATATACACAATTATGTGTTATTTATGAACAAAATGTAGGTTAAGGCTGTGTGCGAGTACGTCTAAATTGCTACCTAATGCCCTGTATGCAGCTCTCAAGAAAACGGTCAAGAAAAATTTGCCATTATTTCGTGTGTGTGTCCAAGAAATTTTGACATTTTTGATACTTCATAGCCTGTTGCCTCACTCTTTCCTCAAGGTTTAATGGAACGGACATATATTTCTGTTGCAAACCTGGGTTGCCTTGTGCTCTTTTTTCACAAAAAATTTTAGAAAACCGTAGAGGAAGCGTAGCAAATTCCTTAAGAACTGCGTACTACCTTACGGAAAGTTGACTCAAGAAAATTTCTTAGCCATTCTTGTACATCATTTTATATGGAGTTTTTGCTTTTCTTGAGAGCTGCATACAGGCCTTTTTATTTTATTATTAATATCTATACATATAATAAAATTGTAACAGGTCGATGTCTGTACATTATAGATATTAAAGAAAAATTAATGCGGGCGATCTTTATTAGAGCACCAGAAGCCAAATCAACCATTTTCAGAATTNGATTTCGGTGGCGCTGGAACAGTCAAGCGTAAAGGCATTATGCGCTTTCGCACTACTCCTGTATGATGAACACGAGCTGTTAGCTCTTGCCCAATGTAACAGCCTTTGTGAAAGCTAACACCATGCAAGTAATCACAATTAGCTTCCAAAGGAAAACTTTTGCCAGGTGGAAGGTCATGAACACCTTCACCGACGCCATAACGATAGCGATGCATTCGGTAGTTGCAGTCATTTGTAGGTTTTGCAACTGTCACATCACCCGTTTTAGAAAACATATTAGCCAAGTCCTTCCAAGTTTTATCTGATTTTGTTATAACACGAGTACCAAGGTCCCGTATACGTGGATCCGGTGTAGATATAACTTCTTGCCCCACTTGTACACTAGTATCCATTCGAACAACGCTGCCAACTGGATTAAAAACAATCCATGGGCGATACTCTTGGCCTACAGAATCTATCTGAATGTTTCTGCGAACGCGATAAAGCCGCAAATGTCGTCGAAGTTCGTTTGATATGTATTTATCGCATTCAATCAAATACGTATTCAGTTCTGGAGTGCGGTATATAATTGAATCATACAGCACTCGACCGGCCTTATTCAGAAACATTGTGTACATTGCAGGAGTTTTGGCAAGAGGTGTACTGCCCGACTGCAAATGAGTCATGTCATTCGTTATGAGTCCTTGCAAGAAGGGCACAACCTCTTCTCCCTGTACTCTAACCAATTCTCGATCCGATAATTCCTCCACAACCAACCGTCTATCAGCGAATTTCTCACTATGATGTACCCACATGAAGTTGTTGGTGGTCTCAATGAAACGGGCAAAACTAGACTTGATTCTTGTCAAACCTTTTAATATATTCATTTTGAGGTGGCAAAAGAACTGCAGAACAAGTCATTAAATTAAAAAGCTTCCGTCGAAAAGCGTTAACTTACTTGTAATTAAATGAATGAATGTAGGAACCCGATTCTAATAAACATCAAATATGTATATTCGAAGTACAAAAAAGAATTGTATTACAAATTTAGAAGTAACTACAATAAAATTTCGATTGAAAAATTTAAAAACATTCCTATGTACGTATATAGACGTATAACCAAAAGCCATTTCGGATAATATTCGTTATGTGACTAGAAACAAGGTTGCCAAATACCATAAATCATGTGCATTATTTTCTGATTGTAGCCGGCTGTCTTCACGTGCTGGCAAATCTCGCTTGCGTAACGACGCCTTATAAAATAAAATAATAAAATTTATGGAAATATATTATCAAGGCCCTAACCAGACATTGGGCCGTATGAATAAAAATAAGCAATTGCTTTTTCTTAAAATTTCAGATCTTTTACTCAATTTATTCGAATAAAAGTGAAGTAAAAGGTATGAAATTTTAAGAAAAAGCAATGCTTAGTTTTTATTCATACGGCCCATTGAGTAACCGGCCCTAATTGATTTTTGCTTCGTAACCCTTTTTTGGGGTGGGCTTTCGTAGTTAGCCGCACCTTGTGTTTTAAGAAAACCTGGTGGAATTAACAAATGAAACAGGGACGCAGTCTCAAGTTATGTAGACTGAAGACCTGTGAATGTCGTTCTAGGCACACAAACACCGGACATTGACGCGACGGAGCTCCATCTGCCTCGGGAGACCAGGACAACAATAGCCCAACTTCGCTCTGGCTACTGCAGCAGGCTTAATTCCTACCTGAGTAGGTTAAATGCGGATGTGCCGAACGAATGTCCGGCATGCGGAACATCTCTCCGCATGCCCGGAAAATCCCACAACCCTAACGGCGTCGTCCCTATGGACCGACCCCATAGAGGCTGCACGCTTCTTGGGGCTGCCGTTAGTGGAACTTGACGACAACGCCTGAGGCCTATCTGAGCGGGGTTGTTGTAGCCGCTACAACAACAACAAATGAAACTTGGTCAGGATGTTAAGGGAGGTATCCTCTAAAACATGTATAATTAAAAAGTATAAACAATATCATTGTTTATAAGTTATTTGTGTACACACTTTTATTTTATTTTATCTTGTATATAAATCAAGGAATAGCGGTCCGAGATCTGCGCAACCTTTGTATTCTCTCAATCGTGGCTTTTGCGAAACCAGGTCAGAATGGACGGAAAAAGTTCGAGAGTGGTATCAATCGACGCGTCTTAGCGCCATAATAACAAATCGAGACCGGATATTATTTGCAAAAAACACTTGTACTTTCC